CATATGTATATGTGTGTATTTATTCATCTGTGTAACATGGTGATAATGATGGGTTTAAGATGTCTTTTAAAACAAAATTAAAACATTTTCATGAAAAATAGATATAAATAAGCCAAGATAGCTGTTCGATAAACTCAGATTAAGAGGCAGTATGCTGCTAGAGATAAAATATAAATTTTATATATTTTATAAATATTAAGTGCTACTAGATATGAGCTGCTAAGATGTAAACTGTAAAAGAGAATAATTTGCCTGAAAGTATTAAATAACTATTGTAGGTGATAGGAAGCTGGACTTTTAGGATTTCATTTCTTATATTCTTTTCATTAACATGGGCAATTCTTATTTCATTATCATGGGCAATTCTTATTTATTGTAAATGTTCTCAAGACATGCCAACCCAAATAGACCTACATGCAGCTATAAAATAAGAAAGGAAGATGATTGGTAAGGAATGGCTCAGTAAAGTGTCTACTGATATTTATTAATCCTGTATCAGATTGTCTACAACTCAGTTTATGAAATCTTCATTGTTACAACTCAATTGTTGCAGTGATTTGAAAGGATCTTGTCCACTTTTCCCAGGTAGACTTCATCTCTAATTTGGTTTTTGAGGCTTTCTGATTGCTTTTGGTACAAAATCAGACAAAATCTACAGTATAGCTTTCTCCAAAGCTATTCAGCATAAACAGGGTTTCTTCCCTCTGGCACTTTGAAGGCATTTCAACCTGCTTTTTGCCTGAATTCTCTTCTGGCTAGAGTCAACAAAATATTGAGATCATATTAGTATTGTACTTCAGAAACCTTAGACTATGGAATCAAAGAAAAGGAAGAAGATATTTGCAAATAGGAAGAACATGTCACCACAAAGATTATGACATTTGTGGAGCTTCATGAGTCATGAGCTTCATGGGGCCATGCCCTTCTCCTGAATTCTCTATTAGTGACAAAATCCAAAAGAAAATCATGGTCAGCCAAAAGGTATGGATAGTTATCTACATATCCACATGACCAAGAATAGATTGATGGCCTATATGGCATGATAGGTCAGCAGTTATGATGGCCTGATTTCATCTCACTTTCTCAGGCTTCAACATAAAGGTTTCGGGGGCAATTAATCCAGCCATTTCCTATTATTTTTAGCTTCCCTAAACCTGTTCACATGATAATATGTTGTTGAGGTTTCCTACAAGCACTGCTGGGCTTTCTGTTCATCCTGGAAATAAGTGTCTGTAGGATAATTCAACTGGGTAACTATGCCTTTTTTCACTTTCTCATCCAAACAGAGGCTGTGTTGGTTCAGAGAATTTTGAGGATCTAGACAACCCCTATGTTGACTTAATTACCTATAACAAAGTTCATACTGCAAAGCCACGTAATGTGAAATCTTCACAGTATGTATATATCCGTTTTCTTCTTTATGTAGCAATTAAGGGATGAGTTTTAGCTGAATATAACTGAGGGTTCTTCATGTTATATTATCAAGTGGGACTTGGGTTATTTAGAGATACAGGATTATTCCTCAGTTACTTGTGCTGAGATTCATACACAGAAAAACTATGATTATGCTTACCAATAAAAGCGAATTTGTGTAGCTCAGGGTTGAACTGTGGAGTCCTTGGGGTACTCTGAGCTTGGTTATTTTCTTGCAAACGTTTTGTTACCCAGCTAGGTAACATCTTCAGTGCTAGAATTGAATGGTGTTTCCTCTCTGTTTATATACTATGATACTCATATGCAGTATACTCATGATTGCCACAATATATAAACAGAGAGCAAACCCCATTCCATTCTAGCACTGAAGATGTTACCTAGCTGGGTAATGAAACATTTGCAAGAAAATAACCAAGCTCAGACAACCCCAAGGACTCCACAATTATGCTTACATTTAATTCTTATATGGAAGGAAATTCCAATCTAGTACTGATGCTATTTTTTTCCTAAGTATGAGTCTGTTGGTGACAGTTACAGTGAAATATTACATGTGCAAGTTATGTAGTATATATAACTGCATATGTATTTGCATGTATGATCTTATACAAATCATAGTAGCATAATATATGGGGTTTTTATGTTAAGTCTTTATATAATCTTAATCTCCCAAATAATATAAAGCATATAAATCCATTGTAGCAGTACTAGAAAGTATTTATATCTTTGTGTGATTCATGTATGCTGGGATATTGAAAGAAACACTGCTGAACTGGAGATTTTGATTGGCCAGACATGTGGTTCCTCTTCATATCAGTATGTGAAAATGTACTGAGAGCCAGAGAGATCTGAGAAATGTTCATCACCTTCTTCAGCAAACTTATCACAGTATAACTAAGACCAAATCAGATATATTTTCATGAAAACTCTACAAAAACATTTCTCATTCAGCTACATCAGTGATGACTTCAACACTCAACCAGACCCACTGCCCCCAACTAATTTTAATTAAGCATATGAGATATGGATGGAGAAAGCCATAATTTTTCTTGCAAATTCCAGTACTTTGTCTAACTCAGGCAGCAGTTACAGAAACTAATTTGACAAATCTGGGACAGTCAAACCACTAGCCACCCCAATTGAAGTCAGTTGTAAAGCTGAGATCTGAGTCAGCATACTAAGCAATTTTGTCCTATTGAACATCTTAGGACAACGAGGTTGTCGCAGTGGGATGCTAAATGCTCAGGTTCTCCAGGCTTAGTGACAAATATTGACAACCTCTGAATCATGTGAAATAGCACTGTTAAATAGGTTCATGCATATGCTTTCTTTTTTTTTGCTTCTTACATAGTAGCCATAACTATGTGTTCTACTGTTTGTTTGAATGCCATTGTGATAAAAACTCCATTACTTTTAGCTTTGGTTATCAGCCTGTCTCTGGACCCAATTCAAAGTGCTGATATGACCAGAAAGGCCTAAATAGTTTGGGATCAGGCTACCCAAAGGAATGTTTTCCCATTTTTACCTATATTCACCCTAATTTGTGCATCTTAGAGTGTTCACCAGGTACTCTCACCAAATAATACAAGGGAAGTAACCATAAGACAAAGGTATCTTTGTGAAATATCTTTCACAAAGAACTGTAAGTATAACCATTTTCTTTCCCAGGCACTTTAGCAGCCGTTTTAATGCTTCCAAAATTGTACTTTTTACTGCTAGCTTTATTAATGTATTTATTGCTGTATTTATTCATATTATTATGGATGATGAGGTTTCTATAAGTTCTGTGTATTTTTCTTTATGGTTCCTATACTTATTTTATCTTTACTAAAACATGTTTTAATAGATTTATATATTCCCATCTGCCATATCTTATTGTCTAGAACTACAAGAAGCACAAACAGTAATATTAGTACCATAAACTGTAGAGTACAGTATTATATATTTAGTATGTATTAAGTATTTACAGCACTATGTATTCAGCTGAACTAAATTACAGATTTGGGGGGTTGTATGCTACTCAAAGTCAATTGATTGGTGGCCTAAACATCCCATAAATTATAAATAAATGAATAAATAGTCAACCAGTTTGTTTACCCTAAGTTCTTCTTAATACCCTAATTTTCTGTCAGGTTGGAGAAGGCATGCAGAAGTGTTTGCATGACTGTTGTCTTATACCACTCTTCTAATGTACAAATAAGCCTTTGATAGGATCATCAGTTTTAGCCATAGGGCAGAACAGGCAGTAGTGGCCAAGGGTCACTTAATATTGGTGGGGGGAGATCAGGAGTGAAATGAGTGTGGCAATGATGCAAAGTTAGTGATGTCAAATTATATACATATACACAGTTGTGTGTGTGTGTGTGTGTGTGTTTGTTTTGTTCTGGGTTTTGATTGAAGTATAGTGAGGACATTTTTTGTTTTAACATTTCTGTTTTAAGGCTTATTTTAAAGTTGCAAATTTAATGCTAAGAATTATTTTTTAATCCATAGAGAAACATGCCATATTGGAATGTTGTCCTAGCAATAAATAGACTAGATTTCTATAAATCTTTATGTTGTTTTCATGATGTCTGCATAGAAAACAAGTTATTTGTTATCAAGAAATCAAACAATTGGATTTCCTGGTGGTTGGAATTTCTATCCAACCACAGATCCATTTTCAGAGCAAATTGACACCTATTAATCATAAGACATTTTGCAGGAAGCTTAAGATTGCACTGGGTCCTGAGATCCCTTGTTGCCATGCATAAGCCTTTCTCAAACAGGGTTTGATGTAACCAGTTGATTCTATTACTTTGAATAGCTATAGGAAGGGTACCTTATGCACCCATTTTCCCAGTTCCTACTATGCTGATGCGATTGATGGATTGGATAAAAAGGATAACATACAGCATCATACATGGCTTGGTGGCCTGCCACCATCCAAACAAATCAAATATCTGAAGGTGGTGGTAGTGGTAGAGGAGATGGTAGTTTATTCTCTCTTTCTGTCTTCTTACAGAATGGGAAGGAATTTCTTAGGATTGGGACAAAGCATTTGTCACTGGCCAGCAAATTAGCACTGATCTCCAAAAATATTGCTGTCCTGAAGTGCAACTTCTGATTGACTATCAGTAATTTACAAGTGTTGTAAACAAGCAAACATACCGGTTCCTGTAGTATCCTGGTACATTCAATTAATCCAAACATCCTTATCAATCCCAGCTGCATTTTAATTATGTGGAATTTAAAAAGTTAAAGAAGTTGGGCAAAGAAAAGGCTGCTTATGATTTAGAAAGTGGATAATTTTGAGCAACAGCATAGTAAGATTCCAGATGGCCTATTCCTCTTGTGAATAGGACCAAAAAATCATTCACTTCAACACTGATTTCCTTTCTTATTATATAGAATCCCAGACCTGTTGCATTTGGTCTGGATTGGTAGAGATAGATGAACAAAATTTTATGTGGCTATTTAGACTAGCCATTGTATCTTTTGTCCATTTTTTAGTGTCAGAATGAAAATGTAGGCTAAAATGACAGTTACAGCAAGTTCTTGTTTCTATTTTGATTTGAAATTTATTGGGTACATTTTTTCTGAACTGAAAGTTATTATTCAGGCTGAAAATTCTTTGCCTTCTGCTGGATTTTTTATAACCTCCCAATCTAGTCTATTGCTCCAAGACAGGAGCATCTGCAGAGGAGAGTCAAAAAAATCAAGATGGTGGTCATCATTGTGCAGTCAAAGCCTCTGAGCCTTTTTTTATATCCTTGTTCCAAGATCACCCAATATCAGCCAAGTGTTGCCTCCTGCTGCTATATAAAGATTGAAAGGCAAATAAGTACCTATTTTTTTTACACAGAAATTGGCTGCTGAACATTTCAAAAGTAAGGTTTCTAAAGTTTTTGAAGTCACAATCATTATATAATTAATCACACAGAGAAAGATACGTGATTATTTGTGGAATCTCTGTATTTTTCCTAAGCAAAGCATCTCTGTGTTAAGCTGCCTGTATATTAGTTGCCACTAGATGTCCTCTGAACATAAATCTTTACTGCTCTGCAAAAATGATGAACCCTTAACTGAGCACTTGCCTAATGAATATTGTAACACTTTCCTCTGTATGGCATTTGAAAAAGTTCATTTTCTGTGAATGAATGCTGTCATAGAATTTCAGTAGTGCTGCTCACAAACAGTGGGGTCACAAAAACAAATACTTTGCTCTTTTTTACAATTTAGATCAAATAGGCTTTTTCTTGGTTTAAACCACGGGTCTCAAATGAAAATGAAAATGGGGGCCACATTACATTAAATGTGCTAATTGGTGGGCCGCATTTATGCATCATACAAAAATGCAACCAACATTAAAAATCAATTGAAATTGAAATGTTTATTTGGAACATACTGGATAACATTACTCAATGTATTCAACATCATGGCAGCCAGCCTTGTTTCCCTTTGGCTGGTGACCATACAATTTATCATTCAAACCAGAACACTTTTGAGAGCAATAGGAGAAATAAAAATAATGAAATAATATAAACATTATATAATTTTTAAACACATTTATTTATTTTTCCTATGCTTCCCACTGACCTTGCTTTCTATCCCAGCAGCTCCTTCGACAGTTCCAGCTTTCATTTTTCATGTCATCAGCAGGCAGATAAATTAACCAGGTTGGGGAAAACAGAAGGTACACAAGCTGGCACCGTGAGGGAAAAGCAGAAGTGGTGCCAGGCACCCTTTCCCCACTATTACCTACTCTGGGGCAGCTATCACCTTCTTCCCCATCAGTGCAGAATCGCATGGCACAGGTTTTCCTTCTCCCCTGCAGTAAGCATTGGCGATGGTGCCATGTAAGCCGGCACTCTGGAAGAGACGCTGGGTCTGCAGGGAAGAAAGTAGCAGGAAAAGGGTGCCCAGGACTCAAAAATCCAGGGCCAACGGTGAACCAGGACATACAGTTGAGCAACCTACCAAG